ATTATAAGTTTTTTTTATAACTTCTAATTAGTCTGGCACATTAAATTAACAACCCTATCTACTGGGTCAATTTTTAAGTCTGACTTATGTATCTTACTTTGATTAGAAGGTATCGATAAAATGAAGTAATAGTTTCGATTTTGTATTCCCATTTTCTTTTTTATCTAACAGTTATTGGAAAATGATCGATATTGTTAAAAAATAATCACAAATATATGTTCTAAACCTATCTGCTTTTATCCACGTTTTAAAAGATTAATTCAAGCGACAGAACACTGATAACCATAGGGCTAAATATAGGACTTAAACACCCAAGTTTCACAATATGACTGGTTTAAAGATTTATGAAAAAAAAGAGATCACTCACACACAAAATATTCTATTCTCTCCCCTCAAACTAGGAACTAAATGTTTACTTTTGCGATTAATGTTCCTTGTGCCCTTTATATATTCAAGGCATTAGTAGTTTGTTTGTTTGTTTTTGAATTTCGCGCAAAGCTACACGAGAGCTATCTGCGCTAGCCGTCCCTAAGTTAGCAGTGTAAGACTAGAGGGAAGGCAGGTAGTCATCACCACCCACCGCCAACTCTTGGGCTACTCTTTTACCGTCGAATAGTGGGATTGACCGTCAAATTATAACGCCCATATGGCTGAAAGGGCGAGTATGTTTGGTGGGACGGGGATTCGAACCCGCGACCCTCAGATTGAAAGTCAAGCTCCCTAACCACCTGCCCATGCCGGGTGACATTAGTGGTCTAGTGTAAGAAGTTGACGTATGCTGAATGTCAGTTTACTTAGATGGGGATTAGAGGTTCGAGTGATTCAGAGTGAATAAGAAGTTGAATTTTGAACGACTAAAGTTAAGGCTAGTTTTAGGCGAATCTTCCTTGTTGGACGCTGATGTGTTAGGCACTTTTATGGACTCTTTATAAGTTCTTTGTACATTTTGAGTTTCAATTTATTTTCATAAGAGGTTAAAATCACCCCTATTTGATTATATCTCCTGGCCTAGAGCGGAAGCTTTGAAGGATCAGTATTGCAATAATTGTTCAATTGCATATCATTGATTTTTTTTCATATTATTTTTTTTTGTGGAAGAAAAGAGTAGAATGTAGAACAATTTTCAAAAACTTACTTCTTGGGAAATGAGCAAAGTAATGTAGAAGTTGCGAAGATTCAATGTTACAGCTCCCGATTTGATTTAGTAACTGGGAACTAGTTTTACTTTTTCAAATATTTTGAAATTAACTAAACGGATTTCCAAAGTTGTGGTACTGGAGAAAACTAACTTTTAGATGGATGTTAGTGGCAGTGTAAGATATCACTCAACTCAAAGTAAAAAATGCTTATAATTAAAAATAAAATACAATTATACAACGTTATATTCATTTATATTTCCTTTTAAGCCAAACACAGTTATTAACATAGTCGCTTGAAAATTACATTTTTATAGCAATATGTTTAACTGTTGTTTTGCATATAAATCCAACTAACCCAAGTCTTCTCAAAATCTCAGCTTAGTTTACGTAAATCAGTTATGAATAAAAAAAGCTATCAAAGTAGATAGCGTAATTATAGGTAATAGTTGTATTTTAACATAACTTTTTTAATCCAATATAATTACGTAAGGTTAAATCGATATATATATGAAAGGCTTGGATAACATGAAATTATGGCCCGGCATGGCCAGGTGGTTAGGGTGCTCGACCAAACATGTTCGCCCTTTCAGTCGTGGGGGCGTTATAAGTGATGGTCAATCTCACTATTCGTTGGTAAAATAGTAGCCCAAGAGTT